TGTGTGTGTGTGTGTGTGTGTGTGCATGTGTTAAGGGGAGGGTGTTAGACTCATGCTGGAAGGTCTAACTTTGAGGCTCTCCATCCTTGTGCTTCCTTCACCCTTGCTGACATGCTGGTGTTTTGAAATTGCAGGCTAAACACCAAATCCTGATCCACCTGCTGGGCATCTAGAGGGCATGTATGTGTCTAAGTGTGAGCCTATTCCACTGAAGCCCAGGTGCCTGAAAGCCCCTAATGCATCTAGTTTTGTAGCACGTTTTTATCTTGGTTTTAGATTAAGCCAATAAAAACCATTTGCATTTGTGGCATTTCAGGGACCTCAAGCAGGGTGGAATTAGGGTCACACTTAGTCTAAGTACTGCTTAGACACCTAACAGGTGAATAGGACCTGGCCATAAGTATTCCTGCAGCTTGCTAAACCTGCATGTCCTCCTCTCCCTTATTGATTGGGTCTGGGTAGGTTTTAAGATCTTGTGCCACCCCGGCTGTATTCATCCATTCCCTCACTTTTCTGGCTCTGAAACGGTTGGGATCTTGCATCTATTTGGGGAGTTTGCTACAGGAAGGGTGCATGGCCTTTTAATGCAGGAGCAAGAAGGTAGGAAGTATCGTTGTCCTGCATCTTGGTGTCCACTCTTCTGCCTTCCAGTTCCCACAATTCCCTTCACCTCTAGCTGGGTGCAGAGGAGAAGACTGCAGGGTTCTGAGTTGGTACAGAGCACAGGACTGCAGGGTTCCAAGGTTATTTGACTATAAACAGCTTGTCTTGCCCTCGATGTGGGTAAACCAAGACCAAGATTTCTCTTTCCTGCCGTAACCCCACTCCTCCCAACCTTCCGTGTCTGCCAGGAGGGTGTCCCGGAGGAGACGGATGACTTCGGGGAGTTCCGCATGAGGGTGTCAGACCTGGTGAAGGACTTGATTTTCCTCGTGGGATCCGTGGAGTGCTTTGCCCAGGTGAACCTGGGGGGGGGCTAGAGGTTCTCCTGCCGTGCCCAGGAGGGGAATCTGTTCCTGCATGCATGTGGCGTGCCATTGCTAAAGAACAGGTTTGACTGACCGTTCAGTGTCACGTGGATGACCTTGCAGGTTATCCCTGTTGCTATACTTGCTGCTTGGCTTCCAACCTCATGGCCTACAATGGTCAGGCTTCATGCTGGGAACTCACTGCTGCATACCACCCTTTTTCC